ACATACATACATACATACATACATACATACATACATACATACATACATACATACATACATACATACATACATACATACATACATACATACATACATACATACATACATACATACATACATACATACATACATACATACATACATACATACATACATACATACATACATACATACATACATACATACATACATACATACATACATACATACATACATACATACATACATACATACATACATACATACATACATACATACATACATACATACATACATACATACATATATATATATACTATGAAGCACGGACACAGACACAGGATACGACACGGACATGCAAATACACAAATTTTCAAAAAAATAGGGGACACGACACGCTGGGGACACGTTTAATATATATAATTAATTTTATTTATTATATATTATAAAATTATTTTTAAAAAATTATTTATTTTATTTAATGTTATTTTAATAAAAAATAATTAATTTTATTTATTATATGTCATAATTAATTTTATTTATTATATTATATGTTCAATACATATTATTCAAATGAACAAAACTAATCAATTTTTTTTTTAAATATAAAATGGAATTAGAAAAAAGAAAAAAAAGAAGAAAAAAGATGTTACACTGAAAATTTAATAGAAAAAAAATAAAATAAAAGTTTACTCAAAGGAGAAGAGAGAGAGAATGAATGACTGCGAGAGAGAGACACAACAACTAAGACCGAGAGAGAAGATCAGAGAAGAAGATTATGAGAGAGCGAGAGACAACGACTGAGAAGATCAGAGAAGAAGAAGAAGAAGAAGATCGAAAAAGAAGAAGAAGAAGAATGAAGAAGAGCAACGAAGGTGTACCTTAGATAATAGCCGACGAACGACGGTGGCCGACGAGTGACGGTGACTGACGAATGACCACCGAAAAGCGACCAGGTCTTCTCTATTTCACTTCTGTTCTGTCTTTCTCTTCTGTTCTAAATTGATTTAGGGCAAATATTGTTCTGGTTTTGTTTTCTTACAAATCGACCCATAGAAGTTTTATAAATTATGAAATTGACCTTGAACGAGTCCTGAAAGTGTCTGAACGTGTCCGAAACGTGTTCGGCTGCAAAAAAATCAAAAAAAAAAAGGAGACACTCTCTATTTCGTGTCTGACACGTGTCAATCGCGTGTCCGATACGTGTCCGTGTCCGACACTGGTATGGAGCCCTTGGAGAGGTGTCCGTGCTTCATAGTATATATATATATGTATGTATGTATGTATGTATGTATGTATGTATGTATGTATGTAAATTTCTACATTGATGATTTATCTACGATGATTAAAATGTGTTTAATGATGTTAAATTAGCTGGAGCCTGATGGTTTGGTGAATATGGAAGAACCATCTATGATGGAGGCATGAGCAGGGTTTCTAGGCTGTACAGGAATAGAACTAGCTGTGGTGCATGCTATCAGGTAATTCAATTAAAAAACAACTTAATCTTTTTAAGTTTATTTGAGCTTGAGGCCTCGTTTGGGAACATGCTAATTTAGTAACTTTTTGACTATTTGACTAAAAAGGTAAGTAAAAAAAACTTGTATATTTGGGATGACTTTTTGACTAATTACGAAAAGATGTGCAAAAAATAGAGAGAAAAAAAAATCTTTGACTTTCTGATATGAGTTGTTGACTTTTTGACTAATTTAGTAACTTTTTGACTAATTAGCTAAAAAGGTAAATCCCCAAACGGGACCTGAGAGTAACAAAGAATGAAGTGTTGGACACTTCTAAAAGTATATTTGAAAGGATATGAATAAATACTGTTAGGTTCCTACGAAAAATTTCAAATAAAACAAATAAATATTTAATTGTGAGGCTTGTGACTATGTTAAAGTGCAACAACTTTAAACTATATGCCTTTCTTAAAGGCAAGAAACAGGCAGCCAATTGAAGTTGCTTCAGAACAAATAAAAAGAAGTCGCTCCCTTATTTTTGTGTCTACAATGGAAGTTATTTGTTTATTCACGACTAGAGGTTAGGTGCAAAGTACCACAACTTGGCACTGAAGATGGAGTGAGGATAGTGGTGACAGACTATGGTAAAGGGGACAAGACTAACTTCATCCTAAGAACTCGCGCCTACTCAAGATTGGCCCGTCCCAACGCAGCCTTGGATTTGTTTGCCTATGGCATGGTTGCCATAGAATACCGGAGAATTCCTTACCAGTATCTAGGTTTAGGAATGGCAACAAGACGGGACGGGGCTAGGAACTACACTCCTGATCCCCGACAATGAGAAATTCCCCGTCCCGGCCACCCCGGCCCCGATCGGGGATCGGGTATCCCCGACCCCGCAAATTTCCCGAATTACAGTAGCTGATCAATTTTTTTTTTTTTTTTGATCTGTCAGCATATTTTCAAATTAAAAAAAAATTGTAAACATTTTCAAATTAAAAAAATCTGTCAACATATTTTCAATAGCATAATCTGTCAACATTTTCAACAAATTCAAATAATCTATCAACATTTTTTCAACAGAATATCTGTCTAACATATTCATAGAGCACATCAATCTATCAATAGGGAATATGTCAATAACATATGAAAAAATCTGTAAACATTTTCAAATTAAAAAAATCTGTCAACATATTTTCAATAGCATAATCTGTCAACATTTTCAACAAATTCAAAAAAACTATCAACATTTTTTCAACAGCATATCTGTCTAACATATTCAAAGAGCATATCAGTCTAACATATTTTCAACAAATTGAAATAGCATATTCCATCCAACAGCCCACACAAAGGAGAATTCAGCAAGTTGCAAAGAAAATAATTAGTCCAAGCACAGCCCGCAAGAGATAGGCTACCCAAAAAATAAAATTAAAAAAAAAAAATCCATTACAATATAAAAAACCAAATCCATCGTGAAAAAAAAATAACAATAAGATTGTTTGTCCAATACTCATACAACCACATCACAACTTTCATTATCTCCTTCAACTTGAATTCCTGTTAAATAAGAAAAGGAAAAAAACAAATAATCAATACTAATAATACTTGAGAGTTAACTTCTAACATTTTTAACCTTTACAAAAATAATATGAGATGAATAAATAGAGGCAGCCCATTATAATGTAAACACTAATCACATCCAAATATCCTAATGAAATACCTATAATTACAACTACAATTAATGGCTGCGCAAGTAGAATGCAAAATATTTGGTAGCAGATCTCAACCAACACCCAAAATTTCAATTAAATTATCATAAAGTACATGAATTACAGTCTGGCTGCCGTTTTTTTGAGGCCAAACATGAAAACTAAAATTTGTCTACACAACTCAAAAAACTGTTTCAGATTCCAAAATTTGAATCCAATTAGACTCTTCACAATCTTATTCGCAGAAAGAAACCAATCCTAACTTGTAGTATAAAAATAAAAATATTTTTCATGATAATGTTGATTCCTCACATGCTGAAATCAGAAAATGAAGCAGCTCATACCCATTCAAAATGAAGCACATGGACCTTTAATGAAGCACTTTCTTAGGGAAAACCCATAAGCATCATTCTACCAATTAAACAAGAATCTTACAGTTTGGTTGGATGATTGTGATCTCTCATAAACAAAAGAAATGATTGTGTCTTTTCACTATAATATTTAGATAGGTAAGAAAGCAGATTATGTGATACAGGAATGTGAGTGAAATTTTCTTTTCTTTCTTTGTATTTTAATGGGCAATCTTGGTATTATATAAACTATAAAACTAATCGTGTTATTTCTCACCAAATCTCAGATGAAACCTATAAAAGAATAGAGTTCCATTTCACATACTTTCTCAGCATTCTTCACCTAACTTATAAATAGTACTTTTTCTCTTTGATTTCTTATCATTTCTCACGAAATCACTTGATCCAAACGGAGTTTTATTCATCAAATCCAAAACTAACAATAATCCCACTGTTTTGTAAACAGATCAATAATCCCACTGCTTTGACAAACACACACACACACACACACACACACACACACACACATATAATAAATTTAGAGGACAAAAAAAAAAACAGAAGTTGAACCCTCCTCCCTAGATCGACATATGTATATATATATTATACACTCAAATATATATATACATATATATATATATATAAATGTAAACCCTAGATCGAATTCGAAATCCCTAGAGAGAGAGAGAGAGAGATACCTTTTCAAAATCGGCGGTGAGCTATGTTACACGGACTCTGGTACGGGTATCGGGTGCGGGTGCGTATCTAGGGGTTGGACACTTTAAAATTAAAAATTAAGGATACGTGGATATGTATCCAAATTTGGATACGGGTACGGGAATACGTTAAATAATTTTAAAAATATATATATATTTATTATATGAAGATGAGTTATATTATATAAATAACAAATAAAAATCTATGAAGATGAGTTATATTATATATATATTTTTTTATAATATTTTTATTTTAATATACATTAATTATTTAATTTATTTATTATATTTTTTAAACAATGTGTTCTAATTAAATTTTTTTATTTTATTTTACATACATGCATTTATTTATTTTTTATTAATATATAAGTATATATTATCTTATAAATATATTATATGTTATATAATAATTATTATATAATATAATATATAATATATAATAATAATAGTTATTATTATAATTATTAACTATTAATAGTTATTAACTATTATTATTATTATTATATATTATTATAGTTATTATAATAATAGATAGATATACGAATAGATAGACAGATATGGTAGATCGAGAGGAGATCGAGAGCAGTACGGGAGAGAAGAGGAGATCGAGAGATTGCGAGAAGATGAGATCGAGAGAAGCTGAGATCGAGAGAAGAGGAGATCGAGAGACGAAAGAACAGGAGACGAGATCAAGAGTGAAGGATCGATTGGGGTGAGATCGAAGCCTGCGACTAGAGAGAAGTCGGCGACCAGGTTCTTGCTCTCTCCTCTTTCCTCTCTTCTGTATTTAGGGCTATTTCGTTGCTTCTCTATGTAGGGCAAAACATAGCCGTATCCATTTGTGATGAGCCGTATCCTGGCCGTATCCCGCACCCGTACCCGTGTCGTGTCGTGTCGACACGGGTACCTCTGAAATTTCAAAGAGTCCGTGTAACATAGGCGGTGAGGTGAGGGAGGATCGGCGGTGAGGGAGCAGCGGCGGTGAGGGAGCAGAGAGAGCAACAGCCCCGTCGTGTGTGAGAGAGAGAGAGAGGAAGGAGAAACCCTCAACAAAAGCGGCGGTGAGGGACGATCGGCGTGAGGGAGGATCGGCGGTGAGAGAGAGAGGGGGAGACCAAACCCTAAAGAACACAACGGCGAGCGAGAGAGAGAGAGAGAGAGAGAGAGAGGAGCAGTGCCATGTGAGTGAGAGACTGATGAGAGCAGCAGTGCAATATGTCAAACCCTAAACAAACACACACACACATTATATATACTAGGGACATAATGGTAATTTTGACGTAGGGGGCTAAATGGGGCGGGGGCGGGTCTTGGACATGTATCCCCGTCCCCGGCCCGGATGTCATCGGGATTAATTTTTTAATACCATCCCCGGTCCATCAGGGGTATTTTTCGAGGAATAACCGTTTAATTCGGAGTCGGGGGGTCGGGTTTAGATTGCCATCCCTATCCAGGTTACAACCTCATGGTCAAGGTTCATGAGCACAGCAGGTTCCCTGAGTACCTAGCCTCAGTCATGTTGTACCAAGCTGGCCAAAACGATATCACCACCGCAGAAGTGTGGCAGGTACAGTCTTCTAAACAAATTTGGTGAACTGGGTATTGTAAGCAAGTTGTCTTGTGTACATATCATTTTAAGGGCAACCTAGTGATGAGGCTCTTGCTAAAGGAGGGTCTGGAAAGTCTAATAGTCATATATTTTCTTGATGCAGGCGGATTGCCAGCAATGGAGGGGTATGCGAAAGGCCTACAGTGCAGTATGGGACATGGCTAACCCACCAGCAGGGGCACTTAACTTCAGGGTCCAAGTAAGTGGCAGTGCAGGGTTGAAGAAGGTGCAGCTGACTAGTGTGATTCCTAGTGAATGGAAAGCTGGGGCTGTTTATGACACAACCATTCAGCTTACTTAAGCCCTATTAAACTCCTAATCCCAATGAAGACAAATATATCTTAAGTATATGTAGAGTAGGAGCTGCTTATTAATTATTTCCTAGTAGTTTTGATTCAGTGATTAAAGTTATGTTTGTCTCCGGTGTTAGAGCTAGTGCTCTTCACCTTTCTCAATAAGGAATCGGATTGTGTACTATGTTTATTTCACATGCAAATAATGCAGCTAAAAGAGTGTGGACCCAACTAACTCTCAACCCTATCCAAACTCTTGGTGATAGTCCGAACACCACGATTTTATGGTTAAAAAATAAGAGTTAACAACCTTTTAAATAAAAAGTTAGGCCAGCTCACAATCAAGCTAATTTGCAAAAGAAACTAAACAAAATGCCGATCTTAGTAAAGGGTATTGATATTGCAAGCAATTTGTCACTCCTAAGTAATCATCACGTTAAACAAATGTGAGAAACATAAAGTTGCAATGCAGAAACACTAAAAAAAAAAAGTCACTTACATCATAACTGTTCCACAAAATTCACATGTACAAATTCCAAATCATGCAAAATCAGCAAAACATGAAAAAAGTGCCATCATTCCAAACTATAGAAGGTTACCAGGTTAGTGCTTCAGAATTTTCTCCCCAAAATCACTAATTCAGCACATGTTATCAGAAAACAACTTGACTACTTGAGAAACCACTGTCAAAAAACTGATGTACAGACTAATGTTTGAGTTGCCACTACCTCAGAATATGATCCGAACGAACCAACTATTTTAACCCTTCTTTCAATTCTCCTCTTGTCTGCTTCCATCAAAAGCAAGGCTTGCCCATCTAAACAAGAACCATAAGCAAATCCCTGAAAATTAAGGGATGAGATGTAAAGTTTTTGCATTCATGAATTAGATTCTATATTACTTTAAGCATGAAGAAAATTTTATGATTTGTGAGGGCAGCCAGTTCAAGCAAATAGAGCTGAAGTTATTTCTGTACCATGTCCCCCCCAGAGGTTTACGCCACTTTGCGAATTGGCCAGAAGTAATATCATTTTATATCTATAAAGTATGATCATCAATAAAAACCAGTGACAACAAGATTTTGGGAAACTATCATAATGATAATGACATAATTAGATAACTGTTCAAGGTGTCTACATCAAGAAAACATGATCACAGATGATAGACATAAAAATGCTGGAAGAAAGACCCTCAAAGTTACAACATGCAAAAATCAAGACATAACATGTTTTAGTTTGATTGAAATAACTAATAATTTCAGAAACAAGGAAGAGGAAGATGATGCACACAGCCAAGCCCCATGGCAAAGTTACAGTGCTGCAGGAGTACAGTAGCCTGTAGCCAGTGACAAACACCCACAGCAACCTCTCAGCCAAGGTTGCCTCCAACCCAAATGAAAATTTGGAGGTGCAAAGTATGGGTTACATGTAACTCAATCACAGCTCACATACATACCAACAAGCACAAGGAGATACTGTAAAACATTGTATGTTGTAATCTGTTAAGGTCCTGCAATCTTTGTTTATGTAACTTTATGTCATCTTGAAAAGTTTAGTAGTGTTGGGGTGTGTTTCAATTCATGAAAATGATATTTGTCTGTATGTGTGCATCCATATTTTCTTGTTTCTGTTGAGGCATCCCAAGTACATGCTGAAACTAATTCAATATACAACCTAGCACAGAGAGTAGATAATAAATCAAGTTCCACAACAAAGTAGTCAACGAGAACTTACATTAAGACACAAGGAATCTCTACTTCTGGAAAACCCCACACTTTGTTCCCTGCATCAATACATCCTGCCAGTGCACTCTGCAGCACCACAATAGCAGCTCTTCATCTTAATATTTCCATTCAAATCTTGAACCTGATTGACGAAGTAATTATAGTGGTAAGTCAGCTCCTTCAAGGGAGGAATGTTTTCTGCAGCAAAGAGCATTATGTGGGGTTTACTCTTGTCCTCGTGATCATAGAGGACATTCTGAGCATAAAGGTTAGGGGAACAAATATGGTTGATGAACCTCCCCACATGCCCACACTGTGCTGCATCGATTGTGAAATGCTCATCCTCCACAACTTCACTAGAACTTAACTGTACAACAGGCTTGAGAGCCAAAAGTCCACCAATGAGAGAACAATCACTGAAATTGTGTCCAATATCAAACAAGTATTCATCATTTTGTCTTTTTTCAGCTTCCTTGTCTTCAAGAAGCTCCCCAATATACTCGCATATAAAACTTCCTGAAGAAATAGAAGTTAGGGATCTAACACCCCAGCCCCTTGACTTCATTTTGAAGATTTCAAGCCGTATTTTCATGCCATGCTGACTGACTTTATTATAGCAAGAAGGAGGGCATTTGCAAGAAGGACCACACTCATATACCAGAGGCTTTGCTTCAACAATAGCCCCATTGCAGTTGTATGGAATCTTTCCTCCATTATTGAACATACATGAGCATTTTTTAGAGTCCAAGCATCCACCGATACAATCACAACCCTTGGGAGCAGTAGGGCACCAATCAGGATATTTCATCTCAGTTATATAATTGAATTTGGGTGGTCGCTTATGTCTATGGTGTTCACAGCAACAAATGGGAAAATACTCTTGTCCCACCCTGATATATCACCAACACAAAGACCCTCCCGAATTTTAAATCTTTTTGATTTCTTCACTTCTTTCCAAGCAAAGCTCTGGTTGGCCTGGAATTCCCTTCAACTCGAACTTAAAAACCAACTTACCATGTGGCCCTACATCATGCATGTATCTGTCTACTGTATACAAGCCATCATAAGTATATGTCAGAACAATCTTGGCTCTTGCATCCAAGGTAGATAATTTTGTCTCTTTAGAACCACGGATTACCCGAACAGGATTCTTTGCTGATATACTATTTTTCAGAGCCAAGTTTCCTCTTTCAAGTTTCTGGTCTTTAGGTTGTTGTTTATCCCGACCACTTATATTTCCTCCATGACCAGAGTATATTAAAACATCAGGGTTGTCCAAATCATCTGCATAACCACCTGAGACAACAATGCTTGTTGCAATGATCATCCCGCCATGTTTCATGTAATCAATACCAGCCTGATAGAGACGATGAATGCCAACAAGAGCAAGCTCCACCCTGTATTGAAACTCATCACCCACATCGACTCCCGGCACTGATCCTATTATCTGTTTGACTGTGTTAACTTCTTTTCCTTTTGCTCTGATAATTTGTGCTGCTTTCAGATCAGGCCTTCTGCTCAAGTACCCTTGTTTCTTCAACTTTGCTTCTTCTCCTTGCAAGAGCTTCCTACAAATAGCTTGGAATAGACGTTGTGTTTCCCTCACTTTGTTACACACATTACCATGACTCGAGCTATCAGGACCAAAAGGAGGCAAGATCACCTGAAAATCATGTGGTCTCTGACCTGCAGGAGAATCTTCATCTTGCTCACATATGGAAAAATCTCCCTTATCCTTGACAATCTGTGCACTTTTATTTTCATATGAAGCCTTTCCAGAAGGAAGCAATTTCTTCTTCATAACCCTCTTTTTGGCATTTCTATCTCGAACATCCCTCTCCAATTCTTCAATGCCAGTCCTTGCTGTCTTTCTCACTAGACTACATTCCTCTTTAGCCCTCACTATCTCTCTTGACAGCGTACCCTGCACAGCAACCTCAACTGGAGCAATTGAAGTCTTGTTTCCCAAGACAATTCTTAGGCGCTGTTCCTCAATCGGACAAATAGCATGCATTCCACAAAAAGGAGGGAATTCACGAATAGCTCTAACCCTTCTCCTAAAATATTTAGCTTTCGGGTTAGTCTCCTTCGAAACATTGCCATCACTAATAGACCACTTTGGAGGAAACCATGTTTTTGCACCACCTGATGGAACCATCCCATCAGCCATAGAAACAATCTCCAACACAATTTTGCTTTCTAGTGCACCCTCACTCTTCACCACAACCTGAACTTCCACTTCGTGCAACTCCTTTGACAATTCTAGTGCATTATTTTCTAAAGCTTTTGGCAAGCCACTTCCTAGAGGCTTAACAATAGGGGACAATTCAGCCCCATTGACCTTCCCAGCCGCAACCACCACCTTCCCCAACAAATCATTCAATATGTCAGGCAATTCCAACTTCACCGGACTTTCCACCAATTGATGAGATGATGAATCATTCCCAATTTCAGAAGCTTTGACACAATCACCCTCTGCAACTTTCATCATCTTTTCATCAGCCACCAAATTCTCTTTATCACCTAGTGATGCTACTACCTCAGTATCCTGGGGCATCAGATTGATAAATGAAGCATTCTGTCCACACCCATGTGGAAAATGGCGAACAGCATAAACCTTTCACTTCTTGTACTTAAGCGAAACACCAGAAGAGGTGCAATAACCATTGTACAATGACCTCTTTTTAGAACTTCCATCAAATAAATCACCATTTGATAAGCAACCCATCCTCCTCAATAACTAGCAAGCAAACTGGCTCTTTGTTGTCGTCAAGAAAAAATGCAGCAAATAGAAGAATATGTGATGAAAAAAAATACAACAAATAGAAATCAGTGCAGACAAGCTAATGAATATGGACAGATATGAACGGGAAAGAGAAAATAGACAAAATTCATGTGATGTATCTATGCATTAAAGGTACGAGAAGCTGTGAAACTACACAAATTAGAGTTGAAATGTAACCAACGATAAATTTAGAACACCTAATATGTTAGAAGTTGCAGTTCTGGTCAAGAGAACACAAACTGATTAGAAAGGACACCAATCAACACAAACTGATTTGTGTCCATGACAGTACTTGAATGGAGAGAGTTCTTGCATACCCATTATTTTTGGTAATAGTGGAAATTTCAAATTTGCCTCGTGGTTTTCCTCTCTTTCATTGAAGGTTTTCCACATAATGTTTGGTGTTCTATGTGGTTATGTATTTTTTCTTGTCTCTTTAATCCATTGTTGCATTCTTCAATTCACACTTGATAGTGGTTGGAAGCGTATTTTCCTTAGAGCCAGCCAAACCCAGAACCGAACTGATCTTGGTTGGTTCTCAGTTTTACTGTCACGCCCCAAACCCACCCCTAAAAGTTTGGGCATGACTGCTTCAGAAACGGACATAAAATTCGAAATACATACATATGAGGCCTAAACGGAAGCATTAAATATTATAAGATAACATGGAATAAAAAGAAACTACATCCATTGAGCGACCACCACTATCATGCTAGGATCACAAATAGTGAATCAGATGATAAATATTTACATATACATATACAACCCTGCTCCTTGAATAGGCGTATAACAAAAACATTGGAAACTTCTACATTTATAGACAATCAGAGTATAAGCCAAACTCAGCAAACTTCACGATAAACGGGTACACACACAGAGGTTGACAAAGGAAGACGGGTATCGAGGGTTATGGCTGACCTCCAGATTAATTATCTACAGAATCAGACAAAATACTGAGTGAGACAATCTCAGTGAGTAATAGTACTTCAATAACTCAATGTTCAACTGGAATTATAATACAAAGCAATGCGTATACAATGTAAAAGACAGGTGGTTAATCTGATTCTGTACTAATATTCAGAAC